TGGGCCAGATGTGGTCACGTTTGGTGTAAACCCCTCCAAAACAACCAAAAATGACCTCATCTGGCCCAAACCCAGGTTCTGGGCCCGAGAACCTGGGTTTGGGCCAGATGTGGTCATTTTGGGTGTTTTGGGAGGGAACCCAAGAAAATATGCTGGCTGCGTTGCCGCAAATTTTGTTGCAGCCACACTCCTCCTCCTCCTCCTCCTCCTCCTCCAGTTTTAGTTAACCCAACCCTATAATAAAGACCCTATGACTCTCTCACCATTTGGGGTAACCAAAATCCTTTTACTATTTCAAGCAAATACATATACTCCCCTCCGACAAATTGGGTTGCTAGGTGAAATCTCAAGCCACGAGGGGTTCCATGTTTGTTTGAGGCATGTTACCCTTGGGGACTATATAGGAGCTACACGCCATCCATTTTCCGCAAAAAGCGTGAAGTCAAAACCCCAAGCCCCAATGGTGGCTGCAGAACATCTTGCAGCACTTGGGCATACGCTGTAATTTCTAAGGTATAAGGTATATAGAGTATTGCAAGATTTCGTCCATCCACAGTAGGATCCCGCACCCTGGGAGCCTGCGCAATGGAATCTATGCAGTGTGGTCGCCAGGAAAAGGCCCTGCGTCATCACGTCCATGTGGGTGATTACCTTGGCTTAGGGCTTAGGATTTAGGGTTTAGGGTTTAGGGTTGATACTAAAGCTCCTGCATTTCCTTAGTACACTTTAATGCAATAATTTTCAAAGTTTAAGGTACTTGGGTTCATGCAGGATTTGTAGCATCCACCGCTAGATTCTGGCGGACTGAGGCCTACTTGAAGGTTCGCAGGTGCTTGCAAGTGGATCTATAGATCCCCTGCATTAGATTACACAGTATAGTTATCCTACTTACGACCTAAACCCTAAACCCTAGAACCCACTAAAGTTATCCTACTTATAACCTTTCTCAAGTAAGCCCTACATCTTGATGGTTTACGTTTCACACCGCGAGAACTTCTAAACGACCCCCTGTATCACCCTGAAAGACAGCCTAGCACCTCCCTCAATTTCCCCAAAGTCAGGGGTATCTTTTGGGGCTCCTATAATAAGGATTATAGTGTTTAGGGGGTCTACAGGAGGGCCTCGCGATATATGGACACTACTAGTTACACAACGTTGAGTGATTTGCATGCATTGTTGCAGTGTAAGACCACATCTGTTTTTAATCTTCTGAAAAAGCACAGGAGCCCCTCAGAAACACCATCCTGATCCTGCGCCCTATGAAAAATGCACATGTCGTCTGCTAATGTAGACCCATGATTAAGAAATCCCCTCCTTTTAAGGGCCTAAATATTCGGATCCCTACTAGAATTCCTATCAAGGTAAGGGGGTTTATTAATCAGCGTTCTGGGTGAAGCATGCTACCAACACTCCAAGATCTCTGTGGCTCTTGGCGTTTGGATTGCAAGCTTCCTGCATAGCAGAATTCTACACGGGGCTCCCGGGGAGACGACCCTACAAACCCAACCCCATCCTACACCCATACGCTACCCAAACTCTAAACCCGAAACCCTCAAACTCTAAGCCTCATAGGGCTTTCTGTGGTATAGAATGAGTATATGAGAACCTCAGGATTTCAGGGCCCGTAGCAGAGCCCCATAATTCCAACTTAGACAAACCATTTACCCAGGCCACGCTTACGAAAGCCGTGTAGACGAGCCAGACCGGGAATGGCGCTTTTTCCACAAATGGTATTTCCAGGTTCTGGCCAGGATAAAAGGTTTAGGGTTTCAGGGTTGCAGGGTTTCAGGGCTTCCGGGCTTCAGGAATTAGGCTGAGAGTTCAGGGTCTTAGGGCTTTGGGGCTTTTAAGGCTTTACAGCAAGGGTCTGCGAGGGAGCTCTTGAGCGCAAGATTTGGGCCCACATGTATGTCCGCGGTGTACTTCTAGCGCTGTAGAGCCTAGGGCTCGAGGGTTTGGGGGCTTGGGTTCGCAGATCTTGACCTATGGCTAGGCTGGCCTCTGGTTAGCCGGGAATGGAGGAATGGAAAAGAAAATGGAAACTACTACCATGGGATATACAGGGACTACTATAAGGATCCATTCCTTTATTCCTCGCTATCCAAAGTTCAGTCAGGACTCATAAGGCCCTCACTTCTGGTCGAGGCATATGTCGTCCTGGAAAATAATCCTTGAGGTGCTTTTGGGGGATGGAGCGCAACACGCGAGCAGGTAACCTCACGCTCCCCGAATTTCAGCATCCTCTGCAAGAGTTCTCAAGGGTCCTGGAATGCCATGGACCTTATGTTGATCCTTGAGCTCTATACCTGATTGGTTAAAAATACTGAATGACCTGAAGATGCAACTTAAGGCCCGAAATATATCGAGCAGAAGCATTCATCATTACGTGAGGATGTGGCGGCACAACCACAAACAAATGCACCGAGCATGTTACAACGTTCGCGCATGCTCCCAAACAGAGTGCCAGTTCAGGGTTTGTTTTTCGCGTAGTTAGATTTTCCGGCACCGACCGCTCATGGGCTCCATGCTGAAGATTGATGACCTGCGTGGACCGTATTGAAGTTTGTCTACGGCTTCTTTGGGTTGCCTTAGGATCCAACGGTGCAGAAGGTGCGTTTCAAATTGGGCCCTAAGATGTTGCTGGATTTACAGCTTAATTTTTGGGCCAACAAATGAAAACTGAATGTTCCTGCTTAGGTTTTAAACCCTGAGTCATACACCCTAAGCCCTAAACCCCGAATTTTAGTATGACAGAAGCTAAAAACGATTCTCAGGTCATGACGCAGTTGAAGGTTGGAGATTCACACACCATCATATACGCTTTCTCAATATAGGAGCTGCCCTTACATCTCGAAAAGCCGGACAAAGCCCTAAACCCTACACGCTAAACCCTAAAACCCCAAAGGCCCTAGGGCCCCAAAGGCCCTAAAACCCCAATGGCCCTAAAACCCCAAAGGCCCTAAAACCCCAACGGCCCTGAACCTAGGCCAGAACTTGCCAAACCCTAAACGATCCAAAGCTTGTTGACCCTAATTCCGTCAGGGTTTAGGCTAGGGTTTAGGAGCTAACCCGATAACAGCAGTAGTTGCAGCACTCATAGCACTTGTAATAATGTTCAAAGCAATGATGGCTATTGAAATATGCAAAGAAGACTGACAACCATCATTCCCTTCCTAATGAAACCGCTACACCTAATGAATTTCCATTCAACTCCAGCGTGACAATAAGAATCCCTATGAGAATCTATAAATGCTTGGGCTTGAATACCCTAAACCCTAAACTGAATCCGCCTCGACCCACTGGAGCATGGGCACCACAGTCCAAGTGAAGCAGCGCCACTCAATGGCCAGCATGATGAGGACGAAGGGGAAGAATCCCAACCAGAGCCAACCTACTTTGGGGACAGATGAATTCTTGCACCACCTGTTGTAGCCTATACCCCAGTTTCTTGCATCCACTGCACCCCCAAGGGGGCTTGTAGGGCTTGTGTCCCTAAAGCCAGCACCCTAAACACTGATTCCTCAACCCTAAAGAAAGTTCAGGAGAATTTATGCTATCTTCCCACTACCAGGTACCTATACCCTTGAAACTATTCATGCTGCCGCTGCCACACCTGCCTCTACCAACGCAGCAACAACTGCCATCAGGTTTACTCTCTTTCTCACTAGGGACACTTGGTAGTTGCTCACAACAGGGGAGCCCAAAAAAAGTCCCCCAAAATACGATAATCCTCCGTATAGGGACCATCAAAACCATAACCCGAATTTAGGGAGACCCTCACTTATCAACATCATCCCCACATCCTCCCGAAGCGCGGAGCTCACCAAACCCCGTGAAAATCTCATATCTCCCTTCTCAGAATGAGGTGATTTGAGGTTCTGGGTTTTGGGGTTCAGAGCTTCTCAAAAACGATGCGCAGTTGGAGGCGCTTAGAATCGTGGAGAAAATTTGGATTATGTGCTGTATGCGGCCCTACTCGGACATTGAGTCAGGGTAGTTAGAACCCAATTGTTACCCGAAGCCGGAAACCTTGTGAAACAGAACCCTACCCCTTTGTGCATTGAATTTACGCTTCAATATGAAGACTTGGAATGTTCAAACCCCCATACCCAAAGTGCCTTGCACTTCACCCAACAACCCCATGTCAAGGCTTGCGGACTCTAAACTCTAGACCGTGCTGTTTCGCCTGACGATCGGCTTACAGCGCGGGCCATAAACCTAAAAGAAATAGAAATTACCATATCGTTGGGGATAGTGTGAGAATGCTACATGGCTCCATTCTTGTATTCCTCTTAACCAGGGGGGAGTAAACCCTCGACCCGAAGCAAAATTTGCGCCTGGGTAGACTGATTTCCCATCAGCATTGCAGTGCCTGCATGGTGCCATGTTCATTGCTAGCAGCTATTTTTTGCCCCCGTACGAATGACAGGAACTTGAAGCAACAAGAACTATGTACAGTTTTGCTGGTGATGTTGCTAACAATGTGATAGTCTCCATGGGTACTACAAAGGGCCAGCAAGCAGTAAATTTTCTCATGATGACATAAAAACAGGGGGCAAGAAGAAACCAGCAGCAGTACCAACACCGCCAAACAGGCACCACCAATACCAGCACTACCGCCAACGCAGCACCGGCATCGGGACAGCGGTAGCATCTGTACGACACCGCTGCCACCGTCACCGCCATCACACAGCACAACACCACCTGCACCACAAGAAGCAGCAGCACCACGCCACCGCCGCCGCCGCCGCCGCCACCACCACCACCACCACCGCCACCACCACCACTACCACCACCAACTACCCAACTATGTTTACGATCTTTACAGAACCTGCCCTGACCCTTGGGAAACTATGCAGAACACCAAAGAATGACAAAGTGGCGTGAAGGGCATCGCCACCCAAGGGAGGGTGGCCGCAAAGGTAAGGTGGACGACTGTCGCAGGCCATAGCCTTGAGGCTTTAGGAGCCAAGGCTTAGCGTTTAGGAGTTGGGCTTAGGGTTCAGGATTTGGTTTAAGGCTTAGAATTTGGGCGTAGGGTCGAGGTGATGCCCAGGACAGTTAAATTGACAGCCCTTGGCCATCCAGAAAACGTTTGACCCCTGCAACCCGAACCCTAGAATCTAGAACCCAACAACCGTAAGGGGGTAAAGTTTAGGGCTTCGACCTCAAGACCTTAAACCTGCATAAACCCTAAACTTAATCGCTAAACCCTGGATCCGTCAAGCTCACACTAAAACAGACCGAATCTGAGACGTCACCGCGCATCTTCACCCCACCCCCACTCTGTTACAGTCCGCAGACCCTGAACCATAGCGTCAGCAGACAAGCATTCACGACAGCGTGATCTAATGGGAGATGGGGGGAAGTCTGCCAACCAACATCTTCGGAGAATATGCAACGCATGCAGAGTTCAGCACAGTGACTTGAAGACAGGTGCGGAAGTAAGAAATTGCTGAGAGGCGCAGCATGTCCAAGCCGCAGGCCAAAGCAGCTCCCAGCCAGGAAGCTCTAAACATGACATAACGGTAACACAAACTGCAACACATCACCCCAAAAAACATCTTGCGCGCAATACCCTTCAGTATGCCAAGAACTTTAGGATTTGAGATTCTTGAAATGCCCTATACCCTAAACCCTGTGGCCCAGGGTTTCGGGATGGGCGACGCAGCCATTGAATTACAAGTGCAGCACTGGGGCTCTTTGAGATTTAGGCTGGAAGCCAGGAATTCATGGTGCAGAACGACTAAACTCTAGGTATATTGGAACCCTAAACCCTGAACCCCGAACCCTGGAACCTAGACCCTCAACCCTTCAAGCCCTAAAAACCATGAAGCCTAATCCTAAGAGGCCAGGCCACAATCTCACTGCCGGCCCAGAAGTGAAAAACATCGTAAGCCGCTTCCCCGTCCGATCGTCATCTCTCGTTCTGGCGAGTTTCTGGACTTCGTGTGGCACCCCACACCTTGGGATTTTAGGGCTTAGGGTTTGGNNGGGTTTGGGGGCTTGAGGTTTAGGGCTTATCTATAAGAAAAGCCCAATAATCAAAAGTCAAATGGAAAAGCAAATTGAGAGTGAAATGGATGCTGGGATGGTACAATGAATGAAAGTTTAGTGTAGGGACTAGACTCGACAATAACATTGCAAAACACTATTCTTGTCTATAATGGCCATTCTGAGAGACTACATGATACTATCTGCTTATCACTTGGCTTTCTCCCTGCCCTTTGGGGTTTCAAGTAAGGCTCCTTATACCATACGAAAACGGAACCCCATATAGCCCGCTCCTACATCGGTAATGCCCCGCGTGTGGTTTCATGCTAGTTTGGAGGGAGTCTGGGCCTTTAGAAGGTTTGTGAGACATCTTCACAAAAGATCTACTGAAATCGTGGGCGGGTTTGATGTTTCCTGTCTTGTGCGGCTCTGGATATACATCCGTCAGCTCTGTCATGTCAAGGTTCCGGGAGCCACACTGGCTGTGGTACACATCTTTTCCGATTCCAAGCCCTAAGGCCCTGAAGCCCTACATTCAATAACCCCAAGACTCTAAAAACCTGCACATTAAACCCCCATACAGAAACAGTAACCCTAAACCCATAACCCCATAAGTCGAAAAACCTATAAAGCCATACAGTAACCCTAGACCACCAGAAGTAGAAACTAGAAACTTTGCAGAGTAAACATAGCGGTCCAACCTGAACGCAATTGGGAACAGCCTACACACCAAGTGCGGTTTAGGGTTCAGGCCTTTAGGTTTAGACGTTAGGTGCTAGGGTTTGGGGTCTAGGGTTTAGGGTCTAAGGCTTGCTGTCTGGGGTCTACTCCCACCCCGAAACTTTCGCAGGAACCCCAACACAAAAGCAATACATGTCTTGGCCTGAATCTTGAACCCCGAACCCTGAACAGCCTTCCAGAATCCAGCTCCTGGGCTTTACGCTACACACCCTAAACCCTAAACC